ATTTTACAGTGCAGTACATAACTGTCAGTTGAAGAAATTCTGTAAAAAAATAGTTAAATTCTGGTCTCCTAAGGATCGGAACATCACATCTACAGTATGTACAGTATCAGCTGCAAGGCACATACATTACAACATTGCCATAGAGTGCTCATTTCGTGGCTCTGCAGTTTTGTAGATTATTAAATGTAACTCAGATTATAATCTCAGATTAAACCCTGTAGTCTGCATCTTTCTGACAGATCTCTGATATTAAAATAAGTGAGAGCCAACATCTATCATCCAGTTTTACTGTATGTTCACCTTGTCAATAATAAAAAGGGTTGCTTTTTTATCATTGATAAGACAGTGTCATCGAAGGTTAAGAAAACGAGGAGGAGGGCAGAAGAAACACAGAGAAAGAATAGTTATGCTGTTTTATCTGGTCAGATTGTAATCCGATCATGATTAATTACATTAATTATTAGTTTGCTAAAAAATGACATTGTATCCTGTAAACATTTTTTGCATTTTTAATGTGTCTGAATTGTAAGCAAGCATTTCATTACATATTATGTGCAGTACAGTATTTCACAATATTTTGCAGCCGTTTTATATGCATATAGGTATACAGTCCTTTGTACCAATGCTAAGAGGCTCATATCCTGATTTTTCAGTAACACTCAGATTAAAACAGCTAACCAATACAGTAGTCTTTATCTTCAGCATAGCAATACTTGTTTTGATTGAGTCATGCAGATGTGGACAGGAGACTGAATGGATGAGGACCTGTCCTTCTCTTAACAGCAACACATTGATTGTGTTTCTTCTGGTTTCATCTATGAGACCAACACACGTTTCAGTCGAATGGCAGCCAATACAGAGCCAGTGGCACATGACAGCTATTATTGCCTGTTATTTTCCAGATCTTGACTGACAATTTATCCCAGAGCTGTATTGAGTTACCACTGTTCTTTTGCTTCCATTCATTGGATAAATAGAAGGTTTGAAACAAAAACAGATTGAATGTCGTTGGGGGTAAATCATATTGTCTTCTCTTTTAGTGTCTGGTAGTGAACTTTTGTAATTGGGGTATTTATGATGCTAGCTAGCAGATCAGTGTGCCAACTTCAGTTTGCAGCACGTACAGTATGTATGTGAATTTGAATTTCACACTCAAAGAACTACTGAAATACATTTTATACACAGAAGTGTAAATAAAAACAAAACAAATTTTGATTTAATGTATCTAAATTTCAAGTTGTTAGGCTACAAAATGTTGTTACTTTGGAGGATGTTTAGACATTTTATAAGCACTGAACATGTGTCATCATGATGAGACATTTGTCAAAATCAGTTAAATTGAGCCCTTTTGTTTTCGATATTTCATATACATTTAGTTACGTAAACAATGGCTGTAACATTTAAAAAAACTCAGGATATATGTAATTACGAGATTTGAGACATTTGATCATACTCTCTGATTTTCAGCTCGAAATTTCAACAAGTCAATTAAGCAACTATAATGAACTGGGTGTACCTATTAAATAAGGAACCAGTTATCCAGCTGGTGAACAACATATTTACTAATCCGTTAACACTAACACCCGGGCTTATCCAGAGTAACAGGGGGAGCTGGAGCCTATTCTGACGAGCAATAGGCACAAAGTGGGATACAACATGGACAGGATGCCAGTCCATTGCAGAGCACACACAAACACAAACATGCACACAATCACAACAGAGTCAATTCTCTGAGAATCCAATTAACCTACTAGTATGTCTTTGGACTATGAGAGAAACCGATGTGAAGAACATACAAACTCTACACAGGTAGTTCCCTGGAATTAAACTCAAGACCCCAGCATTTTAAGGCAACAAGGCTGTCCCCTGCACCACTGTGCCATCCTCATATAGCTAATAATAATAATAATTGTGTTCTTTCTGCTGTTCATAAGTCGTAGCCTGCTGTTCATAGCCTAAAAGGAACGTTGACACAGACAGCTTAAAAGAACTACAGTATGTGGGTAAATGATATAAATGATATAAATTTATACAATGCTGGAAGGTAGTGACAGACTCAGGTCAGAGGAGTTCATTTAGGACGGAAGCTTGGAAACACTTCTTTACATACATGCTTGTGGTCAGGATTACATCAGATATCTCTCATTTATTTGACGGACAACCAAATAGGATGGGTTTCAGATTGAATTTTTTTTTTGCATATCCTCTGTATTTCAAAGATTGTACAACATTAGTTTAACGAGTTGCAGTTATCAAAATCAACAAATAAAGACCAGCAAATCAGCAAAATAAACACATTCTGTTTTCATTTTTCTCATAACTTATCACAAGTTGTAAATGGCAATCTATAGTATTTTCCAAAAAAGTACATCAGTTATCCATTTTATATAAAATTGAAAACTATTGAATGATGGTGCCTGTCTTATACGGATTATATTAAAAACAATAATATTCATAATGGGCAGATTCTTAAGGAACACATTTGCTATTTCTCTTAGGAAATCATTCTGCTTTCCTGTTAATTAATATTTATGCTTATATCTCAATGTGTTCGTCAAATATGAAATTTTACCATTGTTTCTTTTATAAGGATTTTAAAATCTGATTTTCAGCATGTTTTCTTTTCTGTATACATCTAATGAGTGCAATAATTAGAAAACCATAATTGAAACCTTTCCTGTTTTTTTCCTCACAATTTGTTTTATTTGGTACAATGTATATATTGGAAGATTGGATAGATATTTTTTTTACCCAATATTTTCTTATGCACCAAACCCAGTCTCTGGGACTCTCAGGCTCTAAAACAGTTTTACTTTGTGTATTTTTTCTGCTTTTAAAGAATTATAGTTTCAACCATACATGGTTGTTTAAAATACAGTATATTTTATATGTACTGTATATATTGTCATATTTTAGATTGGTGGAATTCTGCATGGGCAGCAGTAGTGCAGTTGTTAGCATTGCTATCTTGAAGCACTGGGGCCCTGGGTTCAACTTCAGACCTGGGGTGCTATCTGTGCGGAGTTTGTATGTTCTCCCTGTGTTCCTCCGGGTGCTCTGATCCTCACACAGTAGTAGGTTAATTGGCTGGTTCTGGTTTGAGTGTGTGTTTGTGTCTGTGTGTGCCCTGTGATGGACTGGCGTCCCATCCAGGGTGCATACTGCCTTATGCTCTTTGCTTGTCAGGATGGGCTCCAGCTCCTTCGCGACCCTGTATTCATTAGAAATATTACATTTATTCTAATTTGCAAATTTGTGTATAGGAATAAATATATTATATACTGTATTGCTTTTTCAGAATTGTTATGAAATGGTTACAATGATCCTGGCATTGTAACCAAGCTACCAGATTAGCTTTCATACTGTACCAGCTCGGAGGACTCAATTTTATGTAGCACCGAAATGACAACGAAATATATATCCAACTATGTCCTTCTTAATTTCATAGCCTGATGTCTAAGAATCGGCAGTCTGAAATTCGTCTGAAATGTGAAAATCTGAAATTTTAAGAGGCCCAAAATGTTGAAGGGTAGTTAATACCTGTCATACATTATCCTTACAATTGGCTGTCAGCTCAAAGGCATCAGTGTAATAGACACTTTTTTTAGCCCAGCATTGGAAGACTCATTTGGCTTTTCCAGTGATTTCTTAGGAAGATCAAACAGTTTTGTGAGCCTGGTCACTCTGGGGGCTGGCTCACAAAACTCGCTGTTCTAAGGCCTAATGAACCAGGTAATGGAATTTTCATGTATAATTCAGGTTGTCCCAAGTATCCAGTTACAGTGTTAGCTTTCAAGACCTGTCTCACGTTATTATTTGATAACCTGATACCCACTACAGAGATGGAAATTTGGCTGTGATTCTTTCCCTTGTACTTATATGCACTTTTCATAGCTTTCATACTGTACTAATTGAAAAAATAACACTATCATGAGACATTTGTTTTAGATAAGTGTTAGTATAAAAACATGAAGGTAGTTTAAAAAGAAATCCATTCAATGGTAATGTAGCCTTACCAAAATCATTATGCTACTATTAAATGTGTTGTTTTTTTAATCGTTTTGTTAATAAGAACTTCAATTACCTTATTTTTTGCATTGAAATCAACATATAGTAAGCAAATAATGTCTTATAACATCAGAAACTGAGATGGTAAAGAGCCGCTGAAGAGTTGGTGAAGAGTTTTGTTGAAACCCAAGATGTCGTTTAAAAATAAAGCTGTCCAGCAGTGGTATTGAAGCAGATTCACTGGTTTTCTTCCTTGGCTGGATACATTCCTCAAACGAATAAGCTTCTAGCAATGGAACAAGCACTATACAGTAGGTTGAATGGCTCTAAGTTGAAGTCTTGCTTATGTTTCGGTTGTCTCAAGGCTGTATTTAACAGTTGCTGAATGAGGATGTGAGATAAGCGTTGCAGTGATGAGAAGCTTGTCATATGCAAACTACAAAATCCTCAAACATGCTCAGATTAAATCCTCAAACACTAATTTAAAAAAAATTATAAATGTTTTTTTCAATTTCTTTTAAAACGGTTTATTAGACTAAAATTGTCCATTTCACATTTCTCAGTAATGCAAAAGGATGGTTTTCTGACCCTGCATTAAGAGTAAACCTTTATTCTTGCTCTGATGCTCTTAGAATTTTGAAAACATTTTTTTTTTTGCTGTGATTATACATGAATCCTGCTTTTATTTTCTTGCAGGAAGAATCTCCCTGGTACGCAAACCTTCTGGTAAAGCTAAAAAAAGCCTTAGTACTAGCAAGGTGAACTGCAATGTAAAAATAAAACATTTTTGGTTTTAAACGCTGTTTTACTAAATTAAATTAATTTAATTTATTTCTAGATTTTTGTTTTATTCTAGGTATTGCTGTTGTGTTCAATGGTGCATCATTGTCTATATTCTTTGATGCTATGTTCCCCTGTATCTTTGTGTGTGGCAAATCAGAGGAAAGTTATTGAGTCACTGTGTTGATTCACCTGTTGTCTGTGCTCCCCAGGCTGGAAGTGATGGGGAGAGTATTGGAAACTGTCCATTCTCTCAGCGACTCTTCATGATCCTTTGGCTCAAAGGAGTTGTCTTTAATGTCACCACAGTTGACCTGAAAAGGTAAATCACTGCTTTGCCTGTGTGTCCAGTTCAGGCCTGCGTTCCAATCAGGTTAACTGTACTGCCATGTTAATGTCATCTTAGTTCTGAATGAAGACTTTATCAATGGTGAAATAAAAGGATCATCCATTATATTTACAAGACAGTGTTGTTAGAGTGTTATGCTTTATCAAATCCAGTATTTTTTAATTGCTTAATCAGAGGCTAGTTTTCAATGCAATGCTTTTAGTGAGATTATGGCATAAAATGTGCTTTTATCAAAATACTGTATGTGAGATGTTAAATTACGAACTTATTAGCTTGGGCAATGAAGTACAGTAAAAGTTTATTAATGTTGTTTAAAGAGTTTGTTTTCACTTTTGAGGCATTCACTATGAAATATACTTTTATAATTACCACCATGATAAATATTAACAACAGCGATAACTGTAGTTGAAGCCTTAAAACCTCTAGTTTAAATAGTTGTAATATATCCCCATCTGTAAGTAAAATACATGTTTTTCATTAAAACTTACATAGTAGCTATTGCTACTGCTTGACTGTGTTGTTAAGAAATTTACCCACAGTTTTGGTTTAGTTTTCTTTAATAAAAGCATGTTCAGTGCTATTGGAGCTTAATTATGCTAATATAGTGTTTCACAAAACTATAGACAATTAGTTCATGCATGTGTTCAGTTACTCATAGTAATATAGTATTTTATTCCTGGGTGTAGACGCTCATTTGACTTTCTCATTCTTTTCCTAAAACGTGTGTTCTTCTTGTGAATCCAAGACCATTTTCATTTACTGAGTAAAACTGGTCTTACTGTCACCTTGCTTGAACTGTGTAATTCTTCTATCATAGCTGGTATTTTCATGAATAGGTGTTATCATCTAGAAAAACAAAACAAATGACAAAAAGTAATTTCACAAAGATTTTATACACACATTTCCACTGACACTGATTTTCATACATTTTTTATGTATGTGTTGGTCTAATTTTGTCCAGCTGGTACAACATTTCTATTCTCTGACCCTTTTACAGTACTATCAGGATAAACTGTCACTACCTTCATTGTACACGGTGACACATTAACTAATTTTTAACATGGTCAGGTTAAAAAATTTCCTTGTACTGTGCCTGTCTCTCTTCACAGGAAACCTGCAGACCTGCATAATCTGGCTCCAGGAACACACCCCCCTTTTCTGACCTTCAATGGTGAAGTTAAGACTGATGTGAACAAAATAGAAGAGTTCCTGGAGGAGGTCTTAGCTCCACCAAAGTATGTTAAAAAGCTCCCTACAGCACTTTGAGCCTTGGCACTAGAACATCATTTTTTTTACATTTGCTTGTTTGAGATATATGCATGCATAAACTTGGCAGTCTTCATAAAATGTACTGCTTGAGACATATGCGAATTTAAGCTTGCATTGTCTTGTAGAACAGCAGGTCAGTTTTGAAGTGATCAGGTTTAATTCAGTGGTCTCTGACCATGGTGCTGAAGAACACTGTTCCGGCATGTTTTTTTATTATTCTTCTTTCATGTTTATTTTTACTACTTAAGTCAATCATAGGCCTAATGTAGTAAGAGGTCAGAAGCCCTGGATTTAATTTAACATTTGGAATTTATTATTTTGTGTAGGAGTGGCCAACCTCCACATTTCTGATGCATTCATTTGCAATTTGTTATAGCCAGACCAGAGATAAAGATGTAAATTTCAGCTGCAGGGTCACTTAAGTAATTAAGAATAAATAATTCAGTAATTAGAGCCCTGGCTCATACAATGGTGTGGATAAGGAGAGCCATGGTGGCTTACTACTGACATAGTGAGAAGAGTAACCTTCACCAGTGGTCTTATTAGAACACTACTAATGAAGCCTCTAACCCCCTCCCTCTTCTCCATACTGGTGTGAGATCATATCAGTGAGCTAAGAAGATTAGTAAATAGCTATTCCAGATTGGCAGCAAAAATGTATTAAAAACAGAACCAACATCATAAATTAAACTGTGAGAACTCTTATGTTCTCTATGTCTATGTATTTGTATTGTTTATACATTTCCTGGTTATACCATAGCACAGCATTGTTATCTTAATGAGGCTACACTGCTATTGGACTTACTAGAAAGGAAGGGGGTGGTGTGGTGGCTCTGTGGCTAAGGACCTGCACCTGTGGCTGAAAGGTTGCCGGTTCATATCCCATGGTCGGCAGAGGGATCCTACTCTTTTGGGACCCTGAGCACGGCCCTTAAACCCAACTGCTCCAGGGGCACTGTATAAATGGCTGATCCTGTGCTCTGACCCCAAGCTTCTCTGTCTGTCTGTGTGTCTAATGGAGACTAAGTTGGGGTATGCAAAAAGATAAATTCCTAATACAAGAAATTGTATGGCCAATAAAGTAATCTTAATCTACAAAGGAAGTGATGTAATTAAGAGGTAAATAAAGAAAGGATGCTACTGTTACTCTTAACATCCAGCACTGTGTGCCTTACATTACTACATGTATAAAAGTTTAGTGGTAACGTACAACAATGTGCATTGTGCCCATGTCTGTGGCTTTGTTCTGCAGATATCCCAAACTGGCTGCTAGACAGAGGGAGTCAAACACAGCTGGGAATGATATTTTTGCCAAATTCTCAGCATACATCAAGAACACAAAGCCAGAGGCCAATGAAGGTGGGTTTCTGTGTTATCATCAGCTCCGAAGAATATTTTCTGACTATATACTATGTAAATCAATGTGCTGTGATATATAAGTTGTGATATATAAGTTTGTATATACCAAGGTTCTTAAATAGAACTTTAGGGTCATCCATCCATCTATTTTCTAACCACACACTCACACCAGAGGAAGGTTTCTCAGAAGCCAATGAACCTACCAGTGTGGGAGAAAATCCAAGCACTCAGAGGAAAGCACTGGGTAAAGACCGGTAAAACATATGAGCTCCCTCCCGGATTTGGGCCCAGGGCCCCAGCACTGCAAGGCAGCAATACTACTGCCCTGCTGTGCTGTCCACTTTATTTTTTTATGTAGTAAATCTGGTATGCCTTATTCCATAAAAAACTTATTAAAAAAACAGAAATGTTAAAAGATTCTTTTCAGTCACATTCAGAATTATGAAATCTACAGAATCATATTTTGTTTAGTGAAAGTGAAACTCTCAATATAGAATTCATTTGTAAGTAAACCTGTCTTGTTCATTTGGTTACTAGTAGATTATTTATCCTAAGGTCTCATCTAGTGGTCTCCAGTAGACTGATTTGACTGGAATCAGGAAACAGTCCTTTACTTAAGGAATTGTGGGGGTGTTCGGCTAATTAAAAACGACCACATTATCTTTACTTTGCTGCCCTCTAGTGTTCACAGACTTAATTACAGGAGGGGGATCATTTGTTAAAAAGAATTGTACAAATGTTTTTCAACTGAATGTTTGTGGGCTCACCTTCTTAATCTAAATTAATTGTAAATCTGACTCACACCTTTATAAACATGAAATATGCAATGTTTGTTAACAGAAAAGTTTTCAATTAATTTAATTGCTAGAGATTTCTAACAAAATCAAAACATGAAACAAGGCTTTGTGCATCTTTTACTTTCATATTGTTACTTAAATGCAGAAATTTCCAGAAAAGTATCAGATCATTTTAGAAGAGTTTGTAAGTGTTTCTACTAATGAATACATAAATAGAATGCTTGACAAGGGAATTGACAACAGCGCTAGTGGGATGGTGTGTGGACATCTTCCATGTAGGTCTGGAAAAGGGTCTGAACAAGGCTCTGAAGAAGCTGGACAATTATCTGAACAGCCCTCTCCCCGACGAGATTGATGCCAACAGCACAGAGGACGAGAAGACTTCAAATCGCAAGTTTCTGGACGGAGACGATTTGACACTCGCTGACTGCAACCTCCTGCCAAAACTCCATATATTGAAGGTTTGGCGCTTCCAAATCAGTTGTTTGCAGGTTTTGAGTTCTGGTGCTTCCAAATCAATTGTTTGCACAGTTGCGCCAGTGAAGTTAGACAGAGTTTACATTCTATCACTTGGTACTACGGGAATAAGGAAAAATGAAGCCTTCTAATTCCCTACATCTTGCCACACCTCCTTGGCAACTCTGGCCCCAGCCAACTTGAACATGCAATATCTACATGCCAGTGCTCAAGGTGCATTCTGAACAAGCAGTTTCACTGATTGAGCTTCTGAGCCGCTTATGGACAGTTTTCAGATCTCAACCACACATAATAAGGCAATAGCAACACTAAGGATGTCTTGCTTTTGAAGAACATTCTTAGAGAAAGGGACAAACTTTCTCTAACTTTCTCTAAGAAGAATGGCTTGACATTCTTCTTGATTTTCTAGTTGTTCATCTTAAATGTAAGGCTCTACTCTGTACAGTTTAGTCTCACAAAAACAGTACATTAATTCACCACGTCACACAAAGGTGACCAAGATCTTTTATCTGTGTGTCAAACACTAAAGCTAATAAAGAAATCAGTGAGGTCTTGAAAATGAAAGTTTCTTAACTAACCCTTTTAAACATGCTCTTCTCTTACTCTCAAAATGATCTGTTCTGTGTAGGTGTTTCACTCAATTGATGTACAGTACTTAATGAAGTAATGCCTGCTTCCAGCTTCCCGGCTCATGTGCCTTTTCTTTCACAGATCGTTGCGAAAAAATACCGGAACTACGAAATTCCAACGGAAATGACAGGAGTGTGGCGGTACCTGAAGAACGCTTATGACCGTGATGAGTTCACAAACACCTGTGCGGCAGACAAAGAAATAGAGCTAGCTTACTTGGATGTGGCAAAGAGGCTTTCAAAGTAAGGCTTAAGAACAAAGCCATTCAAGTGGTACTCATAGGACATAAATCCCTGCAATCTGGCTGCTGTTGCCTTTTTCTTTCAAGTGGCATCACCATTTATCAGTATCATTATCTGTATTGGCTGGGACAAATCTTATGCCACTAGCGCCTCTGTTGTCAAAGATATTTCTTTTCCAGGAAGTTTCATGTCTGTCGTCCTTCTTTTCACAGATGTGCAATATTTGCTGACCTTAATGTAAAGCTTTAGTGCTTCTTTTGAGAATTTCATTTGATTGAAAATATCACACAGTCGCATGACAAGCTAGCCACTCAAGCAATAGCTCGGATTGGGTGCCACAATTAATAAATTATTATTTTTTTACAAATTTCCAAGTTTTGCTCCTTCATGTGGCTTGTAAGGTTCAGTATAATAATCAACTTAAAAAAAACGTATATCTGCACAAACCCATCATTCAGACACGTTCAGACAGTGTTACTTCATTACTTCATACTTTTTCTTAGAACTGTCCATTCTTGCTCAGGTATAGTACTTCTAAATACTAAAAATATTATTAGTTACTTACAAATGTACTAATGTACTAATGATTTAAAATCCTGAGCAATCCTTTACCTTTGTCATTTGGCCATTTGGTGTGTAGTCCCTTTGACCATAATTGCCTGAAAATATTATTTAAACAATCATGTCTAGCAAATTACATATTTTTTTAAATATACAGTAAACAATTAGAGTTCTTAATTTTTTCCTCTTAAATCTGTTGTTATTTACATTTAACCACTGAAAACTTAAACCCTAACTGTCTTTGTACTCAGGGTAAACATTTGTTCTTATATAAATAAAGAAATTACATTTGTTAGGAGTGTGAAAGTCCAAATTGATATAAGCTTCAATAATTAAAATATTAACATAGTATCCAAGTATATTAGTGTATTGATTGTCACTTGTGCAAAGTATTGTGTCCTAGAATATAGTTCTGAATATAGTGGCTTGTGCAATTTCACTGACATGACTCATTAGCAATGTATAACTCTCAAGATAGGAGCGCTTGAATTCTAGAATCTAGAATTCTTATGTCTAAAAATACAAGTGAAGTGAATATGGATCTTTTAAATTCCAGTGTAGAGACATTACACCTGGTCACCTGGACACTAATGTAGAACCTATGCTCAAAGTATTACACATGTTGGTAGGTCTATACAGTATGTGAAAGCTGTAACCAAATCACATGGTGCAGCTTCATTTTACACAAATTATAGTTACTACAGTATTTAAGATTACTAAAAATCTGGAGGCCAGGACAATCAGCATCCAGACTATTGTTTAACAGCTTTGCTGCAATAATGCTGATGCTGTTTGTGAAACAATGTAAGTCCAGTCTGAGCTTTGTCATGTTAGTTTTCTGTGCTCAATTTAGGGATTTTATTACAATCTGCAGCATTTTTTCCAAACGCTATTCTATGAGTCTAGCTATGACCACTAAAATACAACACCTGGATATTTTGTACTTACAGCAGATGAAATATTATTGCCTACATTGTTAGTGTTTAGCTGGTGGTATACCAAACACATTTCATTTATTAGAACCAGTGCTTGAAATGACCTCTGTTTTGTTTCACATTCTACCTCTGCTGCAGTCAAGATTTTCTTTCTGAGGCCTGACCACCTGTGCGTTTTGTTGATAGTCTGGGGACTCACAGGTCAAGACAGCAAAAGAGCAAATTCACCAATAAAAAAATGTATCTTTACCGTTCAATTGTGTTACTTAGGTTATGTAAAAAAAATTGGGAAATTCTCATGTTTTTAAATTGGTTGTTAAAAGTTAGGTTTCAGGAGGCAAGAATAAGCTTAGTGCAAGACAGCAAAAGTGATGAATTGCACACATCTGTAATGATATGCACCGTCTAAAATTGTCATTGTAAATGTTAAGGTAAAATGGCAAAACCATTCATACTGTACATAAGGTTTAGTAGTGGAGCTGACATGTCTGTCTCAATTCAGAAACAATTATTTGAATTATTTTTAAAAATGGGGAAGGAGGAATATGCAGGAGTTAAACTGACATCCCTCTACTTGATGGTGACTTTTTCTTTTTGATTAAAAGCGTCATGCAATCAGAATTTGTCTTAAATTCTGGCAAGCTCCAGCGCATTAGGTTTAAAGGTGTAAGTCACTGGCTGAAAATCATGGTAATCTGCACCAATTATGCCAGTAACGACTCAGGTTAAGTAACTGAGAATGTGGTTAGAATGAAAGTCTGGAACGGAGACACCCAATGTACATATAGCAGAACAAAACTTTAGTGACAGATGCAAACACTGTTTATCTAATATTATATGGTTTTGATATTTTTTCGTTAATGTCTTTTATGTGCTTAGTTTTCTCAAGGTTTGTCCCAGACCAGGATTTTTTCTTGCATATATTATTTTGAGCAAACGGAAAGTTGATAGTAACTTTGTCAATGGTCATGAAGTCAGTTCTTAGGGAATTCTCTGCTGTGAACCTCTTGGTCACTGAAGATATAGATATATTGAAAATCATCGTTTTCAACAAGCTGCGCTAACAAACATGCAGTCCCATTGAAACTGCGCCAGACATTTTACAGAAATACTGAGGAAGTATTGCTTGGTGGTATAAACAAACTGTAGATACAATATACACATCATTTATGTGTACACACAGTATTAGGAACAGTGCTTACATCATACATTATGTAATGTTTTGTATTTAGCCAATTATAAATTAATTAAAATTGATCTCTTAATGAAAAAATAAATGCAAATATGATAGTGTAGTGATTTTTTTCCAATGGTCTTTACCTTTTCTTCTATTCAATTTATTGGATTTTAAAAGTAAAAACATTTTCCAGTCTAAATATTTATTATACTTTACAAACCTTTTGGTCAACAATTTATTTTAATAAAAATCTATAACATAATTGTGTGCTGAGAATTTTGCACACTACTATAGTATAAATACTGTACTGTGCACTACATATATACATATCACATTTGTAAAATGACTAGAAATCATAGGAAAAGTAAATACTAATTAATATTGTGTGGTCCAAACTTAATAATGTTTTGTGGAAATGGTGTATGTTGAATTGGGCAGAAAATGTAAACACGTCAAGCTCTACTAGTAAAACTTTAAGCATGATTTCTCATGACGAGTGAAACAGCACCATCTACTGGCAGAAATATTTATCACTAATCCTCACAGTTGCTTCTCTGTGATGAGTTCATGTTCACGTTGTCCCTGAGTAAGGTAGTTTCTATACCCACCCTATGAATGGCTAAAGATTTGTAACGATGTTAACGTTCGAAAACACCTAAAAAGTAGTATCAAGGTAAAAGCTGATGAATAACTGATGATGAGTAATTGTTTTTAAAAGTACTCCAATATAAGTTTTGTGAGATATAAAAATATAAATAAAATCACTTAACCAAAACTAAAATAAAAGTGTTATTTTGGTACTACAGTATATATTGTAGAACTGGTGTAAAGACAGACTAAAAACAGTGAAATTATAGAACTATATTACTGCAATAAATCCCTCATGTCTCCTTCCCCTACTCTCCTTTATTGCTGGAACTGTCAAGATTCTCGTGTTTGTAGTGTCAAGTGTTGATCAGATTCTGTTCATAGATAGATTAGTGTAACAGTTCTGTTGCAGCTGTAATTTGTTAAGAATTGTGACTTGAGCCTTCCTTTGTGCCAGGGTACATGATGTCCATAAGAATTTAAAATTCCAGCAATACATATGTTGATATATGAACCATCGAATCTTCTGAAACCAGCAGTAATTATTTTGCTAAAAAATGCTGTTCTACAGTAGGGGGTGCTTTTGATTTACTGTTCATGGATGGTTCAATTAAACTGTTGTGCTGATCCAGCTTCAGGTCACTACAACTAAGATACACTAAGGTTTCTGAAGACCGTCCTTCAGAATTCTGTCCTGAATTGTACACTCCCACCTAATTGATGGATATGTGAACAGAAATGGAAATGCAAACAATTCAGGGAAGCTCGAAATTGTCTTTCAGACTACACTGACTGCTGCTGAAATAAAAGTGTCTATTTTCACTAAAAGGAATCGGTGTGCTCCTTTCTTTCACAGGAAGTGATAATAAAAGGAAACAAAATCTACATGGAAGTGCATTTAAAACTGGGAGCATGAGGCAGCTCTTTACCCAAAGGTTTGTAGGAGTATGGAACAAGCTGCCCATGAGGCTGAAGCTGATACTTTGCCTTCTTACAGGAAACGGCTGGATGAGATAATTGGATTAAAATTCTACTAGCTACCAACCAGACCATAAAGGACAAATAGTCTCCTCTTGTTTGTATTATTTCTTTGTTATGTTCTAAAATGTACGTATTGTATAATGATACACTTAATTTGTAATACGTTGGAGCTGAGGCAGTTTCTCCAGATGTACAGGGATATAACATGATCAAGCAAAACCAGTGGGATTAGAATGACTTGAAAGCTGATTCTCAGAAAACAGAGAATGTACTGTACACAAAGACATACATGCAGTTCCTCAGAGGTAAATATTACCTCCATACTAACTATGTTCCTAGATTTGTAAGCTAAGAGTAACCCAATGTGACTTGCAATATCGAGAGAGACGTTGGTGCAACTTAATTTTGTCCTTGAGGGCAGCTTTGACCCAATCCAAAGTAAAGTTGGCAGGCTCGAAGCTGGAATTCCAGCACTGGCTCAAGGCTGGAATAAACTGTTTGCCAGTGTTGGGTCAGAGTTGGCCAAGTGAACTGAATTCCATTGGGCTAACATCTCTCCATGGCCTTGAGTAAATACTGAGCCAAGTATGTATGGTATCAGGAAAAAGGGAAAGTAATCTTAAAACAGCCTAGAGAAGTGGCTCTTATCCGTGGTTCTGGTTTCTTCTGGTTTTCATTTCACTTGGGCTCTTATTTACCTAATTGTAAACTCAACATTTTCCAGCTGTTTTAAGAGCTGGAAAAGGTCTAATTAAGCACTGTATTAGTTTTACCAAGTGTTCAGCAGGGAGCTCAGATGCTGCAAACAGAAAGCATAGGGGTAACCCAAGACCAAGGCAGAGTCACGAACAGAATTAGATCGAATTCTAGTATTATGAAACATATGGCAAATGTGAAGAACATAATAGAGCTGAATGCCTTTAGCCTAGAAAAAGTTAGAATTTAATCAAGGCATTCATAATCCTATAGGGGACTGGCCCAAACAAACTGTGTTTATCTCAAAATGCAAGGGAAGATCATAAATGGAAATTAAGTGCTTGTACAGCAGATTAAGGGTTCAGTGTGGAAGGTAATTCTTGTACACATGGGATTGCTGTTTTAGGCACCAGTCTACCAGATTTCAGAAGATTAGTAGGGTGATGTCTTGTCAGTTATAACATGGCTACAGTTTACTTTAGTAGGCACTGTCTTTTAGAACTATAGGTGTGCAACTCCATTGCCTGAGGACACGAATTCAGCAGAATACTAGATCTTTTTAAATCCCAATTAAAGAAATACCATTGAAAAGTGTTAGACTGGGCCAAATAACCCACTGGTTAGCTCAATTAGATCAAGTGTAGTGATGGAAGGAAAACCCATACTGTAGGTGCTGCAGTCCTGAAGGACTGTAACTGTGCACCATTGGACTAGACTTTTCACTCTGTATATCTGTGTACAGTACATTGAACATCCCTCACCCGTATTTAAAACTTGAGGGATGCTAATTACAGTGCCCTGGCTAAATTTCAAAACAGGCTCCCTCAGTCTAACTTAAATTTCCCTTTCTAATTTAATTGACTAATTCATTCTTTTTTTATATTATGTGATGTGTGGTGAGCTGTGGGCTCACAAACGGTTGGCAAGGGCTGTTCCATAGGTTCTGAATTTACTGAAGTGAGTCCCCTCTTGTAATGTGCCTTGGGATCCTTTGGAATGAAAAGAACTATACATATGAAATGTAATACAGACCAAGTGGCCTCATGTTGTATGTTACTGCTTAGGAAGCTATGATGGCACTACTTTAATCGAAGCCATTAGGAGGCCTGGATCAAATGAAAACTTTTTTTCGCCAGCCAATTGTAAATTAAAAGCCCACTATCTGATGATGGGTTTCCTTTGTGCAGTTAGAAATCCACAAAAACAGCATCGAGTATAAGCCTTGAAATTTTTGACTGGCAGATAGTTTGGAGTTTAGATTTAATCTGTGTTAGAGATTCTATGTTGATAGTATCTGTAGAGCTATGAAGTATTTGAGAGGTATATACGCAGTATGCTCGCCTTCTCTTTCTCGGAACTCTTGAAAATAAGAGAATTATTATCGGTAATTTTAAATGATCCATTTTCACCAAGTGATTATCGAAACTTTCAAATAATCTGTGATAACTCCTGAAGTTAAATGGCATAATCCCATTTAATTTGAATTTTTTAAAATAATATTCAAAAACGACAAAACTTCAGTCTATAGAGTATAAAGTGAAAATGAACATACTGTATATAGAATTATTAAATATATATATATATTGAATATCAAGAGCTGATACATCTTAAGGCATCATTTGTCTTGACTACAATATTGTGAATCCTTATTACTTTCTCTCTTTATGTAATGTGTATTTGATACAGTGATTAATTATTTTCATTTCACATTTATTTCTTCTTATTTCTCTACACTTGGGTTATTCCAGTCTTTACAAAAGGCATACATGTATTGTGATTGGGCTACCTTGTAAACCTTCTAGGCAAGAAAAGTTTTGCATATTTCAAATTGTCTTTCTCCAGTTCCCCAGAACTTTTCAAATAATGCAAAGTGCATAGTGCTGTGGTACTGCTGTCCACCAAAACCATGAAGAAGGTTTTATAAGCTGTTTAGAATAATCAATGGCAAAATCCTTAGAATCAAGTGTAAGTAATTATTTTAATTTAGTAGCTGCGAGACCTGCTTTTCCCTTGCAGTCGACTGCTGCATTTGAAGTTAAAAACAAATCCGCTCTCAAAAATGAGTAATACAAATTTCGGTTTCATTAAAACTTGCATGAAATGGAAATCATATACCACTTGAGGACCACTGTATTCCTTTTTGCCAATTTGTAATACTTTTAATGGCATTATGGCTATTTTATATATAAAGGTATTACAAAAAATAGTATGCAAAGGAACAAGTAATAGGTTTATTACATGCTGAGAAGAGAAGAAAGAAAACATGATGTTTCAGCTGTGGAACCTTCTTCGGGTGTAAAAATAGTATCAAACATTTTTTGCTCGGTTTTACAATGTAATTGTAAACTTACTCAATATCCCATGGAAAGAAACAGCTTTCTAGCTGTATAATACAGAAGATTGGGTGAATGTCTTCTTTAACAATAAAACTTTTTCAGCAGTGACAATTCTTCTGGCCTTGAAACGCAAAGCCATCTCCCTGCTTACATCAGACCTTTAGCTTCTAAAAAAAGTCACAGCCTTTGACATACAGTAATTTAACAGTGCCTACGTAACCAGAGATCAAAGCTATCCTTACTTTCTTTCTTGAAGAAGAAAAATCTATTTTGGGTCATTTGATCTCCTATTTGAAAACTGCTTTTCTAGCATCTTGCTGAAACACTAAAGGATCTCTCTGTGTATGATTTATCCCTCGGTGACTTATAGTTATTGAATGATTTTGCTGCCAAAAAATAACAGCTTAAAAAAATAATTTAAAACTGCTATTCTTTTCCACATGGGTATGTGAACACGGAACGTATGTGAAGTATGGAGTTGTGCCTTGCCAACTTTTAATTAGTGTCAAAACATTACCACCCCCCGACCTTGGATTCCACCTCTAAATCTTACTCCTTCAAAGCTGTGTAATATATAATGACGCATTAATGTCAAACATGTCTCATAACAGACTCTGACAATTTTCTAAACTACTCTTACAAAAAACAGTAAATCTGTGTGCATTCAGTCCAATCCATTGTGATGCAGACAGTAAATAAAAGCTGATTATCAGTCTTTGATCCTGTATCTCCCAGATTCCCCATTTCCCTGTTATAATAATAATAATAATAACAATAATTATTATTATTATTATTATTTATCACTGGGTATTTTAAGTAGCTTGTATAGAACATGATGGAAAGGCTACTAGCTAAGTTAACGAGCTGCTTAATGTCTGGTTTACTAGCTCTGCATCACCAAATGTACTGTGAAACTTAATGTGAAAGAACAGCAGGACAGGTCAGTTTCTTTCACTGTTACATTTTATGAAGTTTTGCCACTTAAATCTGGCACTTTTTTCACTGTACATTTACATGCTTCAAATACAAACCTTCTGCAACACTTATGTCAATATCAGGCACGATGTAGTGGACAAGTCTAATTTTACAGACACAGGTCTAACACCGTGTGTGCTTCATTAGGTATCGCAGTTATTTTGTCACAGTCTCGTTATCTCTTGGCTTTATGTTATTATGGCATGGATCTGTTCATATCACTTAGGGATACTACAGAACCATCCATCTATCCATTGACAAAAAGTTGTTTAGTCATTGCGATGGTCACAGTAACCCAGAGCATATACTGGAAGGATCGGACACAAGATAGGACTACAGACTATTGGATGAGCAACAATTCCAAGGTGTAAGGAAACTGGAGCACCCAGAAAAAAACTGAGAACTTTCAGACAACATGCAAGCTTCACACACAAAGCACGTCAAACACTACTGTACTGCCTATTAGCATATTACAGAACCACATTCTCAATTTATCTTTTTGCAACCTTTGTCTTTGTAAGGTGGTGGTTGAGTACTGTTGAGTCGGTATTGACTCATGGTGACCCTATGGCTAGTTCCCCCATCGCTGTCCATAAAATGTTCATGGCAAGATACAGATTGCCAAGCCTTTCTATCTTTCGATAGTGCGAGTGTTGTTGCCGTTGTCACAGATATGTGACCCTCTGCCACCAACAGAGCCCCATACTGCTGCTGCCCAGTTAGGGTTATAAGAGAACCGTGCACCCAATGTGGGACACGAGCCCACTACCCTGAGATTATGAGTCTCATGCTCTATTAACTGAGCTAGTCAGGGCATCTTTGTTGGGTAGAGAATCATAAAGTT